CTCTCCCTCTCTCCCTCTCCCTCTCCCTCTCTCTCCGTGCGCCCACTCCTGCCTGGACCACAGCGCTCTCTGTTGTGTGCTCTCCACGCGTTGTGGAAGTGGCGGGGAGGGAGTGGCGGGGCGCGGGCGTGAGGCTGGGGCCATAATTAATGCACGACCGGCCGGCGGGCGCTAAACGCGCATGCACTCGGCTATCTGGCCCTTAAATAAGCCCCTCCCCCGGCCGCGCCACGCCCGCCACGCCCGCCCCGCCACTGCATCCCACCACCCTTCTTTCCCACATTCTACTCACTCTCGGGGGGGCCTCATGAGTCATTAACACACACGCGCCCGGTGTGCTTGAGCCTTACGTTAGCAGCGTCGTGTGTGCCAAAGACACCTGGTGGCGGGGCTAAGGCAGAGGCAAACAAACTGGTAGCAAATAGAAAAGAACACTCTTATCCCGCGTAAATTGATTTTTTGCTGCCTGTGTCAGTGCTCATGTTAGGTTTTAATGCAATGCACACCCAGAAGACCGTTTAGTCCATATAACCAAATTCAAAACCGACGAAATTTTAGCTCTTGGGACTAAAATTTTATTCGTGGTGATGAAATAATTTGATCTAGATGACTTAATTTGATTGGTGCGACCATATTTAGTTAAAAATAGGGTTACTAAATTTTAGTCGGTTTTAGGAACTAAATTTTGGTTCTTACAACCCTGATTTAGTTGTATCAACTAAATGGTTCTCTGGGTGCAGCAGGGATACTGACTATATAGTTTTCTATCAAAAATACGGATTAATTCCTTTTTATTAGATTTTTTAGTAGTATATATTGAACTAAACAATACGTAACTGACAAATTGATCAGGACTTCCTGTTGTAGAGAACTCTACGTTTAACTTGACAAAAAATCAGTACATGTCTGAGAGTTAAAGGAAAAAGAGAGTTGTCTGTGGTGTTTTTAGCGCAGCATCCTTCGACGCAGTGATGGCTTCACAAAGGAGGGCATACGAATTAATTTCGTTTTTTAGTCGGGTTTATGAGCGGATATACGCGCCCGGCGAGCGTCTGTTGTTCCGAACGAGCTTCTGGCGAGGATAGGGTGGGGGCAGAGAGGGTGCAAGCGTGAGCGGGCGTGAGTGGGCGTCAGCGTGGGCACATTTTATATGCTGGGTGAAGAAATTGCCACTTTATCGGTACAACAGCTTCCCGCGTAAGTCAGTCACAAGCACGAGGGTCACGAGCGCGTGGCCTCGCACGTGAGGGAAGTCAAGCAGACGGCGATGGGAGGTGCCATACACTACTGAAGTATTCATCGCAGGCCAGAATAATTTACGGTTCACCTGTTTTCGTGCTGTCAAGTTAAAAAGGTGACGCACGGTTACGTACGCTACGAAAGCGCAACAGAGATATTTATTTGAAAGGAAGAATAGGAGAGGGGGCGGGAGACAAAGAGAGACAGAGCGAGAGAGGGGAACAGTGAGAGGAAGAGAAAGAGATAGGGAGATGGAAAGAGAGGGATGGAGACAGAAGCTGATAGGCACAAGAAGAGGAGTGGGGAGAGAATGGCATACCTCCCACGACGCTCACGCGTCCGCACATTTTCTTTCCTGTGCCACTGAAAAATCAGAGACCCTTACACGGGTGAGTTGTGCTGACGTTGCGGCTGCAGCCCGAGTGGAGAACGGCGAAAAGGGTTCTGTCGGGATCGGTTGCGGCGGGGGTGGGGGTGAAGGGAGAGGGGGGGAAGCGGAAGTGTTGAAAACGGGCGGGAGCAGTCGGAAACCGGCGCGGACAGCGAGAACTTTTTCACTCGAGCGCTGGCGGGTGTGGCGCGATTGCCTGAAGCTGAGCTGGCCGCGTGGCACAGCCGGCACAGCTGTCGATGGATAGGAAGTCGTTGGCCGCGGGGCGGGCATCACTCACCTTTGGGGCTGGGCGTGAGCGGCATCATGCTGATCCTGCCCTGCAGGTCGAAGCCTCGTGACCCCTGGAGGTTGCGGCCGCGGCTCGACATGCGCTGCACGCCCGAAATGGCCGTCGTGAGCGCCTTGGTGTAGTCCCTCGTGCCGAACGCCTTGTACGGCAGCACCAGGCCCACGCGCAGCCTCTTCTTTCCATCCGCGTCGCTGGCCCACCCTGCGCCCGGAAAACCCAAAATTATCATTATTTCCATCTCCTCCTGCCGCGAGTGTTTTAAATTTCAAATTCTTTCCCGGGCCGCAAACAGCCGTTGTTCTGAATCAACTTACCCGCGCTGGGCCGGCGGTTGTGGTCGCCCTCCACCTCGTCCTGCTCGACAGGCGCTGTCGGCGTGCTGGTGGTGCTGCTGCTCGTCATGGCCGCCTCCGTGGTGGTCGTCGTCGTGCTGGTTGTGGTGGTAGCCAGCGTCCGGTTAGGCAGCGAGATGTTGGCCCGCAGCGAAGTATTGGTGGCGCCTATCTTGATGGTGCTCTGGCCGCGGCCCGACGCGCGCGCGGACCCCGACTGGTTGGACCCAATCTGAATTCCGCTCCGCCGGCCCGTCGACGTCGACCCACCGCGCCCCGAGGACGACGACGAAGAGGAGGCGAACTCGCTGAGGGCGTCGTCATGGAGGGTGTCGTCGCCCACGAAGTGAACACTGTCGGACGAGGCGTCGAAATGGTCAGCGGCAACGGTGTCCTCGGCGTAGCCAGCAGCGTCCGCGTTGATGAGGTGGTCGCCGATGTGCGTCGGCAGGTCCCGGTGCGTGTCCCGGTGCGGGGCGGCCCCGCCCTGGGCCGCCGACACGAGCAGCAGCACCAGCATGCCCGCCCCCGACCGGACCACGGTCCGCCACTGGGGCACACGCATGGCGGGGACCGCGCCGCACTGCGCTGCACCGGGCCGGTGGGGGCTGGGCGCGCCGCCAGTCACTCGGACCCCATCCCCTGCAACACAGTAACGCTCCATGTCACAACGGCCTTTCCTAGGCAGATGTGTCGAGGATAACTCATTAGCTTGGGCGATAGCGAAGCCAATTACTCATCTGATCGAAAAGTTTCGCGTCTCCCTGTCTGTAATAACGATTAGCTCAAAAATTGGCTGAGAACGGGTAATGCAAAAAGCACTCGGTATATATTACAAATTGTCATTTCCGCGTTATTCTTATTTTTTGTGCAGTGTAGGTTGATGATGGTTCATTATCACGTACAATCAAAGCCCCTAAATCGAGACGTTTTTTTTTTAGAAAATGTTCAGTGAAATCCGTATTTTTGATCATTTTGAAAAACGGTGGGGATTATAAAATCTTCGGACCAAGACACACTACCACCTTGAACGATTTTTTATCACATGTGGTCGTCTACCTGTGAGGCCCGCTTAGTGTTCATATTTTGGAACCAAAGTGCCCTAAATAGGGACAGCATTCAAAAAATACTAGCTATATGTACGCCAGACCACGTCTCGCGAAACAAAGGGCTCTACTTTGACAAGTTACCCCTTAGGAGCTCATAAAAAAAAATATTTTTTTCTGACTTTTTTGACCTACCCCCTTTTCTTTGACACCCCCTTTCAGTCCCTTAGGGTTGGTTGCCAGGATTTGCCGTAGGCGTTTCGTTTACTAGGAGTGAACCTTAAGATACCCTGAAAATTTGAAGTCTCTAGCACATCTCCTTCTAGTGGAACAGACAGACAGACAGACACACAGACAGACACACAGACACACAGACAGACACGAGGTCGTTTGCATAAGCCCGCTGGATAGCTTTTTCAAAGCAGAAGGGCGGGCTAAAAACGACCCTGAAATTCCCAGATCGCTCTCTCAATTCTTTCTCGACTTATCGTGCGGACAGATAGACAAACAGACAAACAGACAAACAGAATGAAAATTTTCGGTCAGTGGAGTAATGGGCTTCGCTAATCGCTCAGCCAATAAGAAGTAATACTAGCTATATGTACGCCAGACCACGTCTCGCGTAACAGGCTTCGCGATATCTCACGAAACACTGTTACGCTGCGACGCGCCTAGCGCATATATAGCTAGGTCTGCGGCGCTGACACCCGAGACGAGTTAACAGAAGTGTACCTACAATTTGTCGATGTTAAGTATTTTTTTTTCGATTTAATAGACTATATGGTAATTTTCACCTCATTTTTGTCAAGAAATGCCCTCTAGCACCCAAACGGTACAAGATAGAGAAAAACGGACGAAATTTTTGTCCTAGGGACTCTACTTTCACGAGTTACCCCACAGGAGCCCATAAAAAATTATTTGAAATAAAAAAATATTTTGCGACCTGTGGTTTTTGAATTTTTAAAAAGTCAATTTTTGAGCTAGAATGCTTATCTTCGAACTCGATCTGTCTTTTTATGATACAAAACGACCCTGAAAATCCCAGATCGCTATCTCAATTCCTTCTCGAGTTATCGAGCATACAGACAGACAAACACACAAACAAACAGACAAACAGAATGAAACTTTTTCGGTCAGTGGAGTAATGGGCTTCGCTAATCGCTCAGCCAAAAAAATTGTTGGGGGGAATAGAATTTTGATGAAAAAAATGTCCCCACCCTACCGTCGAAATTTTCTAATCCGGAATAGTTTAGCCGCCAGAGCTACTACAAAAAGACCGCTTTTTATTGTGTTTTAAAGTGCCTTGAATCGGGACAATAGTCACTTTGCATGTAAAAGCCAATGTCCCTATTAAGGGGGACAATTTTTTTTTGTGTCATTTTAGGTAAAGAAGAGTCCTAGTTTCACATATGTCAGCCTGTAAGTTGTATGATAACCCGCCGTTGTGAGCCCCACATTCTCTTTGATTGCATGAAATTCTATCAGTGTGTTCGTCTGCGCCACCCTTGAGTCTTGAGTGGATTAAGAATTCTTAAATCCTTTACTTAAAAAAAATCATCAAGCTCTATCCCTGCCGCGGACGTGACACCTCCCCGTGCGAGACGGGCGGCAGGGAAGAGTAGGAGGGAGGCCGCAGGCACCACTGTGCCACCGCGACACGCTACGCCACCACTGCGCTGGAGACTGCGCGCATTGGCTTTGTCAACTTTGTTTATGGCTTTCCAAGCGGTAACTCGTAAAAGTAAAACCCGGCGGGTCAAAATTTCATTCGTTTGGTTTCCCCGCGTTTCCCACGCCGAAATAGGCCTAAGACCAATGAATGTTTTTCCTCATTTATTTGATAGTCTCCGTTGGGGTAACTCGGGTGATTGCTAAATTCTAAATATTGTTTACGGTTGCCTCATTAAATTTAACCTGGAAAATCTGATTTGGATTCCTCTTTTAAAATCAAAAAGGACTTTATACTTGGAGCCGATCAGAGTCGAAATCACAAACTTATTAGACCCCAAAGGAGTAAGAGTACGCAAAACGATTAAATTGTCAATCTAGGGGGGGGGGGAATAACTATAAACATTTCGATTCCGATCGTGTTGGAACATAAAACATTATCGTTTTCTTTTGTCAAGATGAAAACGACACATTAGTTACCTCTTCATTC